CAGAAATGTCTATTTTTACGTATTTTAAAGAAGAGATAATTTAGACTTGGAGAGGGAAGGAGCAGGAAAACTGACATTTCAGAGAGTATTTTCTTGTAAGTAAGGCTTCTGAACTGCTCCAGGCTTCAGCATCCTTCTCTACATAGTGAGGGAGAGAGTTGGACTAAGTGCTCTTTGGGGCCCTTCTAAGCTTAACAGTCAGTGAATATACAAGGCCGGGGTGTGGGTTTCTGAAACCACTGTTTTGATCACTTGGGGTTCTTTCAGCATGGGCTTTATGCACGCTGGGTTTCAGTGAGTGAAGGTTGCTGGGTGTGCCTTCCAGGCACTGTACGTTGAACAACATGGGTTTAAATTTCAAGCGTCCACTTATACGTAGATTTTTTTTCCCACTAAATAAGCACTACAGTGCTACTTGATCCTAGGTTGGTTCAATCCGCAGATTCGGAACCGTGGATATGGAGGGCCAACTGTAAAGTTATACATGGATTTTTTGGCCGTCCAGAGGGTCAGTGCCCCTAACCCCTGCTGTTGTTCAAGGGTCAACTATATAAATAAAGGTCAGGGTGAGGGGGAGGGAGCATGAATTGGATGTGTGTGCAATACGATTTTAAGCAGGGAAATTTAGGAAGGTGTGTTGAGAAGGTGACACTTTAGCAAAGATTTGGAGGATGGTAGGGTGCTAGTCATGAAGATATCGGGGGGAACTTTCCAGGAATAGGGGAAAAGCCCTAAGTGGGTTCCTGGTGAGTATGAGGAAGGGCAGGAAGGCCAGCATGGCTCGAGAGAAGAGAGAGTGGGGCGAGCACAGAAGGAACAGAAGTCGTGGGAATGCTGGAGACAAAACTGTGAGGGCCTCATGGGACCTTGACCCCAACAGAAACAGGAGCCATTGCTGGGCTTTGAGCAGGGGAGAGACATGAGCTGAAGTGTCTGAACAGGATCACTTTGGCTGCCGTTCAGGGAGCAGACTGAATGGGGGCAAGGGAGGAAGCGGGGAGGTTAGGAGGTGATTGCAGTGACTTAGGACGGAGAGGATGGTGGGCTGGACCCAGCAGGTAGCAGCAGAGGTCATAAGATATAGTCTGATTCTGGGTATATTTTGAAGGTAGGGCAGGTAATATTCCCTTGTGGAATGGATGTGCAGTGAAAGAAAAAGAGAAGAGTCCAAAAGACTCCAGAATTTTTGGTCTGGGCAACGGGGAGGATGGAGGATGGAGCTGCCATGAAATAATGGGGAAGTCTAGAGTTGACGCCGGTTTGGAAGGGAAGATATGAGGTCTGCTCCAGGCAGGTTGCGCTTCAGATGTCTGCTAGACACCCAAGTGGAGCTTTAGAGTAAGGCAGCTGGCTCTAGCAGCCTGGAGTTAGGGAGATGTCTGTGCTAAAGACAGATTAGGAATTATCAGCGTGTGGATGGCGCACCGTCTCCAGAGTCATAGAACCTAAATGCCATGGGAGAGGGAGTGAGGATGGAGAAGAAAAGTCCCGGGATTTAGCTGCGGCTCACCCCAGCACGAAGAGGTACAAGAGAAGAGGAGGTCCGGCAATGGGGACTGAGGAGGAGGGACCTGTGAAGTAGGACGAGGGCCAGGAGAGGGCGGCGTGCTGGGAACCAAGTGAAGAGAGCGCTTCAAAGAGGAAGAAGAGGGCTTCCCTGGTGGCGCAGTGGTCGAGAGTCCGCCTGCCGCTGCAGGGGACGCGGGTTCGTGCCCCGGTCCGGGAGGATCCCACGTGCCACGGAGCGGCTGGGCCCGTGAGCCGTGAGCCGTGAGCCGTGGCCGCTGAGCCTGCGCGTCCGGAGGAGCCTGTGCTCCGCAACGGGAGAGGCCCACGCACCGAAAAAAAGAGGAGGAAGAGCTCCACTGTGTCAAATACTGCTGGGAAGGCAAGTAAAACGGGACTGAAAACCGACCATTAGGTTTAACAAAATGAAGCCCTTGATGAGCCGTTTCCGTAGAGTGTGAGGCAAAAGCCATATTGCAGTTTCAGAGAGAATGGAAGGAGAGAAATTGGAGTATAGACCTCTCATTTGAGGAGTTTTGACATAGAGCAAAACAGAGAAATGGGGGAAATGCCTGGAGAAGGAGTCTTGTTTTCTTTTTTTAAGCTGGGGAGGGTAGAAGCATGTTGATATGCTTATGGGAATGGAAAAAATTGCGGATGAGGTGGCGGGCTGGGGAGGGATGCAGAGTTGCTGGAGCTGATGTCTTTGAGTTGGTGAGGGGCACTCCTGAAAGTCCATGTTGCAGTTTGCTCTTCGCTGAAGCTCTGGAGGCCTAACCCTCGTACCCAAACTTGGAGGAGAATAATGTTTACAATGGAGGGAGCAGATTTAGCTCTATCGTGTGACAGAAGAATGGCATTTTCACTTGCTCTAGGCGCATCTTCTCTCCTCGCAAGGCAGAAGATTGCTTGGTTAGATAGGATTTTATAACTCCCCTAACTCCTACCCCGAACCTGAAATCACATTTGCTTCCAGTAAGACGTTCGCCTTGCTGATCCAGTGCTGTCTCTCTCAAGGGAGCTGACATCAGGCCTCCAGAATCAGCATACGGTAATTCTGCAACAATGAGCACTGACAAATGATCCTTCGTTATCTCTCCTTTCTTCAGAAAGTGGTCTGTCCCTCCTGTCTCTTTTCCTTAGACATACTGGTGATAACTGAGAGGATTAGATTACAGAATAGCTTTCTTCAGCTATTTCTCAATCTCTAGAATGCCCTTTGGAAATACTGTATGATTTGTTCTTCTCAAGTCTATTTAGCGGGCTCGTGACAACTCCCTCCCTTTGGGTGGGATGCTTGGGTAACCCCTGTGCACCCGTTGAAAGTTGCTGCTTCTCGTTTCATTCTTAGAAGACAGACAGCTCTTTTGTTTTTTTTAATTGAGATATAATTCACATAGCATAAACCTGGCCATTTTAAAGTGTACAATTCAATGGTTTTTAGTATATGCACAGGGTTGTGCACCCATAACCATAATCTAATTCCCAAAGATTTTCATCACTCGAAAAAAGGAAACCCCATAACCGTTAGCAGCCATCCCCCATCCCCCACTTCCTTCTACCCCTTGGCAAATACCCATTTACTTTCTGTCAGTAAGTTTGCTTACTCTGGACATTTCCTATAGATGGAATCATACATGTGGCCTTTTCTATCTGGCTGCTTTCACTTAGAAGAGTGTTTTCAAGCCTTAGCTGTATTCAGCCGTGTTCATACATGGTACCATGTTATCAGTAGTTCATTTCCTCTTCTGGCTGAATAATATTCCATTGTATAGACATACCACATTTTGTTTATCTATTCATTAGTTGTAGACTTTGGGTTGTTTCTACTTTTTGGTTATTATGAACGATGTTGCTATAAACATTCATACACAAGCTTTTGTGAGGACATGGATTTTTGCATGTGCCCAGGAGTGGGATTGCTGGGTCATATGTTAACACTATGTCTAACCTTTTGAGGAACAGCCAAACTTTTCCACAGTGTCTGTGCCGTTTCACATTCCCAGCAGTGTTGTATGAGCATCTCTCTACATCCTCGCTAACGCTTGTTATTGTCTGTTTTTTGATGACAGCCATCCTAGGAGGTGTGAGCTAGAAGGACGGGACCACTCAACTTCAGATTTTTGGGGGCACCTCCCATTAGACCCTTTTATGTTACTGTTTACAGATGTGAAAATGGAGGCACAGACTAATTCCCTGCTCAGGGTCTTATACTGTCCAGTGATGGAATTGGTGTCTGACTTGTGGACCAGTGATTCTTTCCACCAGGCTGTTGTGATGTCTGTGGCATTCTAGTCAGGAATCTGAAATTTTTATTGGTCTGTCTAAATACAGGGAAGATCTCAGCAGG